TTCCTAAAAATTGTAAACAGTCCTTGCCTAAAACTGACACATTAGCACCCGAATCAAGCAAACCCACTAATGTGTCGTCCATTACTTGGACCTTGGCAAATGGTCTGTCATCTGATCCGTGAATTATGGTAGACTCTAGGAGTTTTCGAAAATGTTTTCTTTTCTTGAAACGCAGCCTGCATTTCATTATCTTAAATGTTGGGCCTTTAGTAGTTTTCCGATTATTTGCGATGGTCTTATCCTTCTCGTTTTCGCTGGTGAAATTACTATATGTCTGAGTGACCTTATCGTTAGAGGAGATATGTTTTGTAAAATTAGTACTAGGGCTTGATATATATAAGTCAAATGTTTGTGTAGAATTTTCTTTACTAGAAATTTCATTTATGGAATTAAAATTTGGTAAAGAATTTGAAGTTTTCGGATCACGTTCGTAGCTTAGTTCGAACTCGGGGTTTGAGGGGGTGGACGAGTGTCCCCGGTCGCCAGTTCGCCCACTTTGCGATTTCCCTGAAATACATGATTATTTGGACACTTTGGTGTCAAACTACCTTTTTGTCCACATTTGAAACAAAATGGCTTTTTAATTTCTTCGGAGCAATATATGTAGGAATGACCGTATTCCAAACAATTCCAGCATTGAATGCGGGAATAGTCATATTTAGCTTTCCGATTAGTCAATTGTAGTGCCTCTAATTGAGGATCTATAGTTTCAGAATCGCAAATTTCCTCAGAAGAATTATGAAGTTCACTAATGTTTCTAGGCGAAGCTATGTTCGGAGTTTGAAATTTTGTGTCTCGTAGAACCTTCTCCGCTTTTCGGGCAATATCTCGGAAATCGTTTATATCGCGTGGTTGTGAATTAAATAATAAAAATCTTAAATTTGAATTTAAATTCCTCTTCATAATATCTATTAGTGCAGAATCTGGTAATGGATTTTGTAACCTTAGATTCATTGTTACAATTGAAGTATGGAAATCGTCATACGTTTCCTTATATTGTTGCCTACGCAACGAAATCTTCAGTAAAACATCGTGGTCCGATTCTGCATGTCCAAATTCTTTAATTAAAGCGTGACGTAATATTGAATAGCTAATATTTCGATTTTGCTTAGCAAAGAGCCAATACCATTGCTCAGCACGACCCTCTAATAAAATGTGAAAATTCGAGAGTAAATGTTCATCGGAACATTTAGTACGCGAGCAAAGTGTTTCAACCTTGAAAAGAAAATCTGAGATAGATCCGGTACCGTCGTAGGATATTTTCCACTTTTCCAATTTCACATTTGGATTTTCAAATATTCTACTTTGACCTTCAGATACATGGTTAGAGTTTGAGAATGGTGTATTCGATGACGAAAAATTTGGTAAGTTTAGTGGTTGTCTATTTGAAGTCATTGTAGAAGCACTACCAATTTGAGAAATGCTTTCCCTAATTGAAGTAAGTTCTCTACGAAATTCTTCTTGTGTACTTCTCATAGTTTGCTGCATCAATTCTATTAATGAATCTAACGAGGACGTATTGTTTGGGTTTACACTATTTGGATTAGGAGCTAACGACGCATTATTGTTGGAACCAGAAGGATATTCGAATGGAGTTACGTTCGGATTTAAGGACGTTCTTGCGGGTACTTCCTCAGAAGCTATACAACTGAAAAGTTGTGGATGTGACGCTGAGTTTTGCTCGTCCATAACTATTATGTCCTGGAACAGATTAGACTGTAAACTATTTGAACTATGAGCCCTTTCGACTTGTGGGGGTGCTACTGTTTTATTTGTAGGGGAGTGAACAACTTTTGGTCTTTGACTTTTGGGACTACCCTGAAGTTCTATAGGAATGTTATTGCGTGAAGCAGATAAACGTCTACCTCCTCTACTAATTGAATTATTTGTAGAGCCTCTAGATGAATTTCTAGTGTTCATAACGAAATACTCAGAATACGAAAAAAAAAATCTAAAGTATTTATAATTGAAATATATTGTGGTATAAGGAGCTAAAAAAAAATAAAAAAATGAACTATATGTAAACTAATTCACTATTAACAAATTGTAATAACCAAAAAAAAATCAAATATGTTTGAGATCAAGTATCATATATGTTAGGGGGGAATAATAACTTCAACTAAATTAACCCAGAAGCTAAAAATCGTGTCCATTGAAAAGTTTAGTATGATTAAGCTTCTAAAATAAAATTTAAATAAATTAGCCAGACTGTGTCAGGTTATAATACGGCAACATAAAAACCATAACAAGAAAGATAAATACGGACTCGTATAATATTCCTGACACAATGTTATCGTTCATTCTCAATGCAACTAAAATCGTAGTAATTTACAAACTTCAATATTAGGACTCCTGAGATAAAAAAAAACAATAACCTAATGAGAACAAATATTTCATGCATACACATTTTCCAATTCGCAGTTAGATTCTGAGACTTTATAGTCTGATAGAAGTCTAAGACTTAATTAGAAAATAGTATACAAGAGTGTGTACAATACACACAACAATATTTATTTGACCCATTATCGCTAAAATAAATTTGTATCGTTTTGGATTTCAAATAAAGTTAACTGGTGTTGTTTGTTTAAATTAATATTCAGCCTGAAAAGGCTTTCCGTTGGGCGCCATATATGTTACGCGCTGGTTGCAAGACGAATAATAAAAATTGGTTGAGATTTTCAGAATTCATATTCCTAAACCTTAAATAAAATATTGCTTAAGAGGCATGTTAGGTGACTTCCCAGCTAGCTATAGGTGCGGTAAATTTTGGTTCTTAACCCATATATTCTATTGCGCGTAAGCATATAACACACTACCCATGCCAAAGAAATACCCATAGTGTGCCTAAAGAAAACTAAACTTCAAATTATAATTCACAAAACGAACCATGGCAAGATGTAACGCCAGGTAGGGTACACTTATTCCCACCCACTGACAACAGGTCAGACGCCGTGACAAGAAAAATACCCTTATTATAAACTTGTCCCTAGTTTAGACACGATTTTCTTTTTTACTTACTGAAGTTCATATTTGGTTTTAGTTATCATTCCCCCGTTTAAATTATTTAGAACTGCATTATGTATGTTTTCTATAAATTCAATAAAACTATATTTATTGATAGCATTTCAATAAAAATTCTTAAAATTAGAATCATAAAAAAAAACTTTATAAATTCAACAAATACGAAATTATAATTAGGATAATTAATACAAATTTATATCTGACATTGCCTTTCAAATTTATAATGTCAGATTTGTAATAATAATTATAAGAAAATAATAACACAAAAAAAAAAATTATAAATTTACTCACACTTTGTAGATTCGTACTTATTTTGAGGTTCTTAAAATATCAGCAACATGACTTGATGGGCCCAGCAACCATGATGATGTTACAGTTGATCAATTTTAAATTCGGTTTATAATGTTTTTGCTACACTCAGAAATCTTTATAATATAGAAATAAAGCTGAACATTTCTTATTGATTTTTTTTTTTTTGATTTGATGCAAATTAAATTTTAATAATTCAAATTATTTCAATTTCATATGATTTTTTTTGTGTAATTTTAATTTTTTTTCTATTTAATTACAATTTTTTTGTTTGTTTAAATTGAGTTTATTTTAACAAAAAAAAAAAAAATTATTTTATTTGGAATTTCGCTTAATTCAATTTGGTTTCACTAAATTTCGAATTTTATTAAATTAAAAAAAATTCACTTGACAAAATTTATGAAACACATATATGTATTAAAATTATAAATTTCTTTAAATAATTTTATTTTCTTTTATTTAATTCTGATTTACTTTCTTTTAGCACTATTAAAATTTCATCAAATTTAGACTTTAATTGTTCAGGAAACGCTACTTTAACATTCACTTATTTTAAATTATACATATTAATTTTCACTTTGTTTTAATTAACAAAAAAATAATTTCATTTCTTTAAATTTTAATTTGCATTAAATCTTCACATATTTTAATTTTTTTCTACTGGTATTATTTTTAATTTAACCCAATTATTAATTCATTTTTGATTTCATCATTGAATTTTAAATTAATATAATTTTGTTTCAACAAAAGAATTGATTTTTTTCTTTTCTAGTTTTCCTTAGATTTTCCTTTCACATTTCATATTCAAAATTATTTCCCAAAATACTTCATTATTTAATTCACTTTTCTTTTCAATTATATATGCTTCACTTCAAAAATTGATATTTGTTTGGTAAAAATTATATCCAATTCAAATTAGTATTACAAAATTCTACTTTTTGTTAGTTATGAATGATTTAATGAGTGATTAGTATGAATTTTTGATTATAATAATGAATGAAGGTGAAAAAGTGATTTATGGAAAAAAAAAAACTTTTCTAAAATTTAATTTCTCAAAAACTTTTCCTTTGTATCAATATTTATTTCCATTACTCTTCAACATCTTTCTTTTATTGAAATATATTAACAATATTTAATATGAAGTAATATTAAACTATATTTGATCTTAATTAAAATTAAATCATATATAATTTACTTCTAATATTGTTAATGTTAATTTTTAAGTATAAACTTTAGGACTAATTAATTTAAATCGTTAAATTTTAATTTAGAAAGGTAGCATATTTAGTTAGTAAAAAAAAATAAAAAAAAAGGATTTTAATTTTGAATTTTATAATTTCTGAAATTTGATTATGGATTTAGTATTATGAAAATTGCGATTATTTTGGATTAGACTATTGATTATAATTGATATTAGCAAAATATTCGATTCTTCTATTTCTGCAAATTTAATATTAAAACATAATTTCCAATAGATTTTTTTTTTCCTTTTGCTGCTATTTCAGAATAACTAATTTTAATAGATTTAAAAAAAATCGTCAATTCCGAGAAAATTATGTACTTAATTTTAGGTATTCTAATTTGTATTATATCGAGTCACTTAGATCAAAATATCTTTCCTTATGTAAATTAATTAGGAATTTAGTAGAACCGTCGAATTATTGTTTTTCTTTTTTTTTTTTTGGTCACTTAAAAATTTTGATTTTCGTTTTACTTATCCGATTAGATGATTGGTGACACGTGGTTATAGTTATGTTCTCACCACGTGTGTTTATAATCCAAGGTTTCACAAATCTTCTTGGCACGTGGCAAAATTTGGAAGTAGGACCACGTGTGATAAAACAAATGAGGTTTCAAACAACCTATTTGGCACTCGGGTAAGGGTGGCGGTTGGTCCACGTGGGTTGGCGTGACAGGACTACGTGGGCTAAAACGACTGAGACTTCCAACAACCTCTTTGACACCAGGGTATGGGTGACAGTAGGTCCACGTGGGTTGGCGTGACAAGAGGACGTGGGCTAATAACCATGAGGTTTATCAATACCTCCTTAAAATTTGGGTAGACGTGACGAGTGGACCACGTGTGCACTCATGTATCCAAAAACTGGAGACCCTTTCCGCAGTCCTTCAATGGAACTGTTAATAGTCCTCACAATATCTGTCGACACCCAGGAATCACACTTGAAATTTTTTCCTATAGAAAAAATCACATTGAGAGGACAAAATACAAAAGGTTCCCTAACAACAGGTCTTACCTCGTACTATTAAGTTTCCTTAAAGAAAATTCTTAAATAATAACTCGCTCCAAGGACACCTGGACTATTAAATTGTCTCACTATCCTTTTCCCTATTGAATTTTCTTTTTTTTCTTTTAAATTCAACTTTTCCCAATTTTACTTTATTTAGCTTACTTTTCCGTATTTGATGTTTTATTTTCAACGTTCACTTCAATAATGACTTGGTTACAAAAATTGTCAAATTCTAGAAGTAAATCTTCAAGAATATCCCGTTAAAATTTTTGGAAAAAAAAAAACATATGTAAAAAAAAAGGAATGAATGGTAATGAAATATTGCCTAAATATTTTTGCATTAACCTAAATGAAATAGAACTACACATGAATGCATAGTTAGTTGACAACAAGGAAAAAAAAGAAATAAATACATATGCAAAAAAAAAGTAAGCAAGCAAAAAAAAACTAAATCAAAAGATCTACTCTCAATGAGTGACTTTTGCATCAACAGCAAAGAAAAGTAAAAAAACTGGTGCTCTTCGTTGTTAAAAAAAATTTAAAATTTACAACAACAACCAAATCCATTAATATGTTAAGAGTGTGGTTGTAAAAACTCTAACTCTTTATCAGTGAACAGTAAGAAATAAAGAGATCATTACATTTATTAACGAAGAAAAAATTTAAAGAGATTAACCCACAACACATCATGTGTATATTTATACTCATAAATATGAGTGTAAATAAAAGAAATATGTAATTGTTTTACTTGTTAATTTAAAAGAAGTGTGGGAAGGAACCCTTAATGAAATTTTGTGTTTTTCTAAAAAAAATACTAAAATTCAACAAATAAAAAGATTGTTTATGACAAGAAAATCGTAACATATTTTAAAATAAATAAAATATTTAACAATAAATTGTAATTTAACTTTAGTGAAACTTTAATGAATATCCTTGTTGAGAAAAACATTAAAGATACATTTGCTGTTAATTCCTGTTGTTACAATTTTTTGTTTCAAGTAAGTGTCAATGGTTGTAACACTATTTGTAACGAGTATTTGTTATTAACATATGGAAAAACTTTTAAACATACAATTGCAACCAAAGAGAGAGAGTGTTAAGAGAAAAAATAACAACAATCATGTTCCCTACTCATATGCATGTACATACATACGTATGTAAAAGAGTTTTCATAAAAAGTAAAATACAAAGTGTATACATATATAAACTACAAAAACATATTATGGCAAATAGTAAAATTTTAACAATAAAAAGAATTTTCTATAGAAGTTTTTTTTTTTTAACAGTTTTGACATTTTGTGTAAAAGTAACATTCATTTGTGTGAGTGAATATGTGTATCTGTGTGTGTGTAACTGCATTTAAAAAGTTAGCTTTTTTCAACTTAAACTGTCACTATTGTAAGCAATACAAACAACAAGATCAGAACACAGTTTCGCGTTTAAATAAAATTGTAAACATATAGTTCTGTATAGTTTGAAAAAAAGCTATTCTTCTAGCACTATGGGCTAAAGTTAGAGATAATCTTAAACTAACAATTGAAATAACAATGTACTGCTGTAAAGGAAAAAATATATCAAAATAAATACCCATAAGCAGCTATCGGAACTGTTGTGCCCTACATTACATGGAAAATGTTTTTGAAAAAACCTTCTATAGTGATCTACTAATGGAATAATCATTCATTGCTTTAGAATATAGAATTTCTATTCAATATTTTCGAGGGATATAATAACTGGAATAAAAACACCAAGACATTTTACATATAATTTCGTCGAAAGTATGATAATGATGATGAAATTGTTTCAACGATTTGTGTCATTCTCCGCATACTATTCGTCGATTTTTATACCCTACATCACTATAGTGATGAGTTTATTATGTGTTTGTGCTAATGTTTGTAATGCACAATAAATTGGTCCTACAACCGATCGACTCAGAATCACTTTCTGAGTCGATTAAGACAAGTCCGGCCGTCCGTCTGGCTGGCTTATATGGGCGGATAGGGTGAGTTACCGACAAATTTTTGCAAAACTGTACACGTATTTTTAAGCCAGCAATGATCGTTAAAGTAATTTTCTAAAGGACCCTATATGCGGCTAGGGTCAAATATGAACCGATTCTCATAAAATTTGGTAGAGAGATTTTAACTCGTATAAAACTTATGTGTGGCGAATTTTATCGCTTTACTAGTATTTTTCAGACAGTAGTGAGCTTTTAAAGTCATTTTCTAAAGGGGAGATTATATGGGGGTCAATTATATTCCGATTCTTATAAAAGTCAGTAGAGAGGTTTTGGCTCATAAGAAACTTATTCATGTCGAATTTCATCTCTATAATAGTACTTTTCAGCCGGTAATGAACGTTAAAGTACAGCAAATTTCATTGCTGTACTCGTATTTTTAAGACAATAATGAGCCTTAAAGACATTTTCTGAAGGGGACCGGATTGGGGGTAGGGTCAATTATGAACCCATCCGCATAAAATTTGGTAGATAGATTTTGGCTCGTAAGAGACTTACTGTATCAAATTTGATCGCTATGTTCGTATTTTTAAGCTAGTAACGAGCTTTAAAATTATTTTCTGCAGAGGACCTTACATGAGGAGTAGGATCAATATGAATCGATCCACAAAACATTTGGTAGAGAGGCTTTAGCTCATAAGATACTTACTTATATTAAACTTCATCGCTATATTCACATTTTTAAGCCAGTAATGAGCGATAAAGTCATTGTCTGAAAGGGGTCCTTATATGAGGTGGGTAATTTTGACTCTTATGTAACTTATTTGTGTCGAATTTCATCGCTCAATTCGTATTTTTAAGCCAGTAATGGCATTATAGTAATTTCTGAAGCGGACCTTATATGGGGGGTAGGGTCAATTATTGACCGATTCTTATAAAATTTGGTAGGGAAATTTTGGCTCACATGAAACTTTTTATGTCGAATTCTATCTCTATACTTGTACTTTTAAAGCAGATATGCCCATTAAAGCTGTTTTTCGGGGGTTCACTTGTATGGTGGCTATCAGAAAACCTTTACCGATATTGCCTATTTTCAATACAAAACAAACCTTACCTATAGAGAATATTTGTGGAAAATGTCTACTGTCTGGCTCACTTCGTTCTGACCCTATCTTAGGACTTATAGAATTTAATAGGGATCCAGAATATATAAACTTTTGTGGGTCTATGACTACTATTTCTATGTGTTGCAAACGGAATTACAAAATCAATATACCCCCATCTTTTTTGATGGTGGGTATAATTAGTCAAGTCAAGCGTGTATAAATCCAGTGTATAATACAGGGACTAAGGTTCCGTTCCGTCGCTTTTGTTATTCTACATAGCTCCCTTGTTGTGTTTTCATTTCAATTTCCGGCCGCGGCCAAAGTTTACACCTTTGTAATCGTATATATAAGGTTTTTTGGCCAACTATAAATATTTATGTCTAATATCGAAGATTGACCATCAAAGTATATGCCATCTCTTTGGAATAATACCAAAATACCATCTCTTTGAAAAATACCACTCTGTTATGTCTATCGATCGGTCTTTATAGAATGTTTGAATTGTTTTATTATAAAAATAGTTTTTCTGTATCCCACAGTAAGTGACTTGGCAAATTGAGTTTAAATGGCAATTGACAGATACTTTTTTCTTAATGCAAGTGTCAGTATACTGTTAAAGCTCAAAAAAGAAAAAAATGGTTATATGCTTTGTTCGGCACAATTAATATAGTTTTTCCATTAAATAATTTATTTTAATGCTACTATAGTTGTTATTACCTCAAGGGAAAAAATTAAATAAACCTAATTTAATATTAATTTAACAGGCTTCATGGAAACAATAACAGCAGAAAAACTGAATAGAATTAAAATTTCACCTACATCGTGTGGTAACATAAAAACAGTTAGTTTTTGGAAAATTCGTTTATAACAATATTTTTAGTAGAATTTTATGCTAATATATATTAAACAATTTTCAAACCTTATTTATCCTTGAAATTTAAAACATTTTTCCATTAAAAAACCATAAAAAAACCTTCTAGTTATAAAATACATACATGTGTGTATAACAAAAAATACATACAAAAGTAATAGTTTTGGTTGTAGCAATATTTTTGAAAAAAAAAAAATCCTCTCACTACGTCAATCAAGAATATTACAAAACATTATCAATATTATCGTCATCATACAACTCATCGTAGCCATCATCTTTTAACAACACCAGCAGTTGTATATAATAGCAGCAAATTTGCAACAAATATTAGCAACTGAAACTATTACATCATGATAACAACATCACTCTGTCTACTACATTATCGATGTGAATGGGGAAAGCAATTTTAACGATATGTCAGGTTTTTTAACGAATTAAAACAGATTTTTATTTCCAGGAATCTTAAATTTAAGATTTTTCACTGCTTCAGATTATTATCTTCTTTTCACAACTTATTCATTATTTAATTATATATTGATTCATGTTAGTTAGATTTGCCTCTATTATGAATTTAAATAAAGATTCTTCTAAAATCGTATATTGTTTCATTTTCTACTTTTTGGTAATAATGAAAAAGAAAATGTTGCGTATGAGTAACATTTAATGACGATGTATGTAATTATATCACTCATACGTATGAAATATTTTGTAGTTTTTATAACCACTAACAAAAATTATGGAGTATAGAGTTAGTTTCTGGGTGCCTTAAGTGGGTGCCTTTAGGGTTTTATCCAACGGTGGAGTTAACCACAGGGTTGAATTACGGACTGCCTACCATACACATGCCTCTGAATGATTTGCAAAGAACACACAGGTGGCACTTTTCGTACTTGATTAAAGAGGATCATATAAAAACGCATTGTTCAAGTACTCGATATGTCTAATCTCTTTTCCACCCTCGAATACAAAAGCATATTGCAACCAAAACAATTTCAACACAGACACACTATTGAAGTGTCACCTGTTGATTCAATAACAGCACATACATATTTGGTGTGCTGAAGAGCGGCCTTATCCAGTAAGACAATACTTATTTTTACAGGTGACCGCTGTGGAATAAGAGTTAATAAACGAAAGAAGATGCAATTTTCGGTGATGTTTTTATACCCACTATCAAAAAAGATGGGGAG